ACACTTCAAATTCAAAAAAAGAATATACGGCACAAAGCTTGGAGTAAGAAGTGACAACGATAATAACAGAAAGTGAGAAAAACCGGTATTTTTGAAAATGTTAAAAGAAAGTTAAAAGAAATCATGTACTACAACTAAAAGCCAGATGAAAAACGTTAGACCGTTTATCTTCCATGCATTCTCCCAAGAGACTGACTTCATTTCTGAAGAGAGTGATAAGAAGACCCCGGTGCTGACAAAATATTGGTTAATTACTGCATTATCAACTTCTCGCCAAAATTATAATCGTTGATGCTTAAAGCATTTACAACCCAGTTCGACGACCATTACAACTATTAAAATTTTTTTCTTTGTCCGCTAGAGGAGTATTGTTCTATGAATGCGAAAAGGCAAAAGGATTTACATTATAGTATTAGCAAACCATTGTGAGGTTGATTTTTTTGATCTGCTATACTCTTAACCGAATTGTATTAAACTCTGATTTAAAGCCGCGAAAAGTTAAGAACCGCTTGCACATTAACGCATTACTGAATATTACCAGAAGTACTCATGAAAGTGATAGGAACTGATCTGATTCCAAGTTGTTTAATGTACCTAACTGGGAAAAGAAAAGATTATGAAATAAGTAAGGCTTTTTTCCGCGGTTTTGCCATAGGAATCTTTACGGCTAAATTGACCTGTACGAATCATGCAGAAAAAAGAAAAAAAATTAAAAAAGACAAAATGAACTCGATTTTTTGCAAGTGGTCCACACTGAAGTTCACGGTTGCTGCCAAAGATTTAGTTTTTTCTGCTCTCCTATACCGCTTACAACTTCTCGTTCACTTTCCATACCGTCACTACTAAATTGGTTTTTTTTCTTAGGCATAAAGTGGATACATATTTACAGAGATGAAAAGATTAATGAGCAAAACGAATTATCAACATCAGTTTTTTTCTTCTGCTTATTCTGGCAATTGTCTGCCCTAACACACCTATATATATACTGTTCTCTAACAATGTTGATCCTTCTCTCCACTTCAATCAAAGCCTCCTTCCAACCTCTTTCCCTCCGCCCTCTCTCATCCTTCTTCACTCTCTAAACGCTTTAAAAATAGGTTTCATCACCTCCCAATTTTTCTTACCCTTTCTGCCCACAGAAACAGACGAGCGAAATAACTGTCACATATTTAGCACAACCAATTAATCTGTTGCTGTTCTTATAGCTGTTGTTATCACTGTTGCTTTCCTTTGTGCTTTGTCAGTAAAAAAGTATGGTTTTTTAACTTACAGTCACTCTAGCCTTCAAATACAAAAGAACGATTGTTGTGGACCAAATTCACATATAAAAATAAAAGTGCAAGTCAGCACATGTACAAATGAACAAATAATTGAACAAGTACATGTACACATTTAATAAATGAAATATATATAGCATATTACATGCATTATTACATACTCTACTTAGACGAAACGTTATTTGCTAATATATATATATATATATATATATATATATATAT